CTCAGGTTCAGTACAGAGTTCAGGTTTTGCTCAGTGGGGGATGATGCTACACATATCTTAGCTCAGGTTTAGCATAGAGTTCAGGTTCTGCTTATTGAGGGATGATGAACGGATGATTGCTTCAGATATCTTAGCTGTCTTAGCTCAGGTTTAGTCCAGAGTTCCGGCTTTGCTTATTGGGGGATGATTGCTTCAGATATCTTAGCTCAGGTATAGTTTTTAGGATTGATGTCATGGTTTGCTTATTGATTGCTTAACATGTGCAGCAAAACGCTGCAAAACCTCGAGGAGGTACCAAAAAACCAAAGTTCAAGCGCCAAAATGCTGCAAAACCTCGAGGAGGTACCAAAAAAAACAAAAAAAACTCTGAGACCTACAGCCTCGGATCCCCCGGATAGTCTCAAATTTTTGGTTTTGTGGTATCTCCTCGAGGTTTTGCAGCAAAACGTTGCAAAACCTCGAGGAGGTACCAAAGAAACCAAAGTTCAAGCTCCAATATGCTGCAAAACCTTGAGGAGGTACCAAAACAAAAAAAACAAGGTTCTGAGACCTACAGCCTTGGATCCCCCGGATAGTCTCAATTTTTTGGTTTTCTTTTTGGTTTCTTGGTACCTCCTCGAGGTTTTGCATCATGTTGATCCTTGAGCTTTGGTTTTTGGTACCTCCTCAAGGTGTTGCAGCAAAACCTTGCAAAACCTCGAGGAGGTTCCAAACCAAAAAAAGTTCAAGCACAAAAATGCTGCAAGTTTCGAGGAGATAGCAAAAAAGCAAAAAAATCTGAGACCTACAGCCCCGGTTCCCCGGGTCTCAATTGTTAAGCTTTTTTTGCTATTGTAGTACCTCCTCGAGGTTTTGCAAAGTGTTGATCCTTGAGCTTTGGTTTTTGTTGGTTTTGCAGCACAACCTTGCAAACCTCCAAAAGGTACCAAAAAACCAAAGTTCAAGCACCAAAATGCTGCAAAACCTCGAGGAGGCAAAAAAAAAAAAAAAACCTAACATTCCGAGACCTACAGCCCCGGATCCCCCGATAGTCTCAATTATTTGGTTTTTTGGTTTCTGTTGGTACTTCCTCGAGGTTTTGCAGCAAAACCTTGCAAAACCTCGAGGAGGCACCAAAAAATCAAAGCTCAAGCACCAACATGCTGCAAAACCTCGAGGAGGTACCCAAAAAAACAAAAAACGAGACCCTCTGCCCCGGATCCACCGATAGTCTCAAACTTTTGTTCTTTTTTTGGTTTTTGTTGGTACCTCCTCGAGGTTTTTGGATTTATTTTGATCCTTGAGCTTTGGTGTTTTTGGTACCTCGTCGAGTTTTTGCCGCAAAACCTTGCAAAACCTTGCAAAACCTCGAGGAGGTACCAAAAAACTCAATAAACAATATCCTGGTGACTTGGTTTACGGGATTTTTTGGGAGCCTACCGCGCTTAATGCTTGTTGGCGTGTAAGATATAACAAATTTTGTGTTTCGATGCTTTTTGTTTACATGGTGTTCCGAAACACTGGCAGGTGTGGCAAACACACATATGGTTTCGAGAAGATGGACGTGCAGAATCCGGACCTCGAGAAACAGAACGAACAAGCAACCACAATATCAGAGAGCTGTATCTACACTTGTTTGCAAAGCGCGTTTTTATTCGGTATTTACAGCACTTTGGGCTTGGAGTATTTCTCATGGGTCGTCTAAAGGTAGTTGTGATACTGGTCGGCGCTTCCAAGTGTGGATCTGGGGCGGAGGGGGGGCGACCATATATATATATATACACATATTCCATTATTCTCATTGCACATATATATATATACACACACTTCAGCGATATGTTTTTGCGTGGTAAACAAGTACCCAGCGACCTTTGGAAAGAAGCGCCTCCCTGCTCGACCTCCTGAGCCGTCGCAGCCCTCATAGCGAGCCGTCTCGTCTCCCCGATGCTTTCAGTCTCTGGGACACATGGGAGATGGGTTCCGACCTGTGGACGCCCATGTGCCTGAATTAGTTGTGTACCTTTTTGGGTCCCACAGGGTATGCTTTCCACCGGGGTGGAGGGAGCTTATGCCACGTCATTTGTGAGCTGACACATCCCAAGCTGCTTCCTGCATAGCTGCAGTACAATTTCAGCAAGATCAGCAGCGTAATTCGTGTGCCCTGTCAAGCACCCCTTTGTCTTGGACACCGTGTTTTGGCACGGCTGAAGGGCGGACCTGCTGGCTTTCGGCAAAATGTCTTGTGTGTATGCATCTTCCATTATGCAGCCGGTATGGTTTGTTGGTCTGGCTCCTGGCTCGGTTCCTCTTCTTTAGTACAAGCCAGGTTTTTCAAGCCATTTTGCACGGATTTTTACTATTTTTTCATGGTCTGGACTCCGCCCGCCCAAAAATAGTACGCCAACGTCTGGTTCTGGACGCCAACGGCTTAAAAAAATAGGCCCCAAAAAAAAACGCCGCACTTTCCAACGCCAAAACCACGCCAACGCCGCACTTTTCCACGCCAAAGTGGTGCTGCCCAGTGGTGCGGTTTTAGGTCCCCAGGCTTTCAGGATTTCAACTCCCCAAAGATGTTGGCTCCCGGTTTTGTGTAGGCCACGTAGAGCTTTTCAAAGGGTGCTGCCGGCAACATGAGCACAAAGCCGATGACTCTTGTATCGAGAAAGTGGAGCTGCTCATCGATGCAGCCCGCCACCGACCTCATGGATGCTGACAAGCTCCTTTCCAGTTTGGAGGACGACCCCGCCCGTCTTGCGGAACTCATTGAGACACTCCTGTGTCAGTGGACTTGAAGGTGTATAAGCAGCACAAGCTTGTTCTTTCCTGAGTGAGTCAGGACACAACGCACGCGCACACACACACACACACACACCCACGCACGCACGCACGCACGCGCGCGCGCGCTCCCGCACACACCCACACACACACACACAGACACACACACCCACGCGCGCACGCACACACGCACCCACCCACGAACGCCGCCCGCGCGCACGCGCGCACGCACGCACGCACGCACGCACGCACGCAAACGAGCACATACACGCACAGACACAGACAAATATATTCATCAATATAAGTATACATAAATAAAAGCATAACATAAAATAATACAATATAATGTGCTTTAATAATGTATATATATATATCTATGTTTATATACATACGACATATGCATATATGCACGCACACAAAGACACGCACGCACGCACGCACACACACACACACACACACACACACACACACACACACACACACACACACACACACACACACACACACACACATGCACACATGCATACACATGCAATACATGCATCATACATACATGCACATGCTACATGCATATACATGCATACATACATTCATACTGCCTACATACATACATACATTACATATATATATATATGTGGTCGCCCCCCCCCCCCCCCAAAAAAAAAAAAAAATAAAATAAAAAAAAAATCCAACGCTTGGAGGGGCCGACCAGTATCACAACCACCCTTAACCGACCCATGAGAAATACTCCGAGCCAACCGTGCTGTAAATACCGATAAAAACGCGCTTTGCAAACAAGTTTAGATATGGCTCTATGATATTGTGGTTGCTTGTTCGTTCTGTTTCTCGAGGTCCGGATTCTGGACCTCCATCTTCTCGATTTCATATGTGTGTTTGCCACACCTGCCAGTGTTTTCGTAACACGACCATGTAAACATCGAAAAACACAGGCTTTTATATCTTACATGCTAAAAAATATTCAGCGCGGTAGGCTCCCAAAAAAAAACCATAAAACAAGTCACCAGGACATTATTTGCTGATTTTTTGGTACCTCCTCGACGAGGTACCAAAAAACCAAAGCTCAGGATCAAAATAATTCAAAACTCGAGGAGGTGCCAAAACAAAACACGACATTTGAGACTATCGGGGGATCCGGGCTGCAGGTCTCAGAGTTTTTTTTTTGTTTTGATTTTTTTGTGCCTCCTCGAGGTTTGCAGCTTTTGGTGCTGGAACTTTGCTTTTCTTGGTACCGGGGTCCTCGAGGTTTTGCAAGGTTTACTGCAAAACCTCGAGGACATACCAACAAAAACCAAAAAAGCTAGATGATCAAAATGCTGCAGAACCTCGATGGAGGTACTCAAAAAACCAAACAGCCAAAATTTGAGACTATCCGGGATCCGGGGCTGTAGGTAGTTCACGTGTGCTAACGCCCCCACCCTATCCTCCCAAAGCAAGCAAATTGCGCTCTGATCCTTTTTAGCACTAACAAGAATGGGCGGAAGTGCGAAGGTTAACAACGCAAAACACACAGAGAACCTCGCCTGCACAGCCAGGTCGAGCGAACTGCTCGGGATGCGCCTGCCCAGAGGCAACGGCTCTCCCTTCGCAGTCACTCTACCTTCGCTGCCGTTTCCCGGGAGGGTGGGTGGGAACAAGGCAATCAGGTGCAACCATCACATCTTGCGCCAAAATGGCACCCCAGTGAATGTTGCACTCCCTGCCACCTTTAAGCACACTGCCCTTGTTATTACGCGAACAAGTTCGCTTCACAACAAGTTCACGTGTGCTAACGCCCCCACCCTATCCTCCCAAAGCAAGCAAATTGCGCTCTGATCCTTTTTAGCACTAACAAGAATGGGCGGAAGTGCGAAGGTTAACAACGCAAAACACACAGAGAACCTCGCCTGCACAGCTCCAGGTCGAGCGAACTGCTCGGGATGCGCCTGCCCAGAGGCAACGGCTCTCCCTTCGCAGTCACTCTACCTTCGCTGCCGTTTCCCTCATACTTCCGCGCCTTTGTTCCTTGTCTGTCGCGAAACAGTGGGCACATTTCTCTCGGGAGCAAATAGCTGCTTTGTCTTCACTAAGCGGCCTGGCCATCCTTCCGGCTTGTATCCATGGCCAGCCACAGGCAGTGGTCCATTCTATTGGACTTCCGACAAACGTGCATCCTCTCGTGCTATGGAGCTTTTGTGACCCCACGCCTAAAACATATTTGGGTCGCAGCCACAGCTCAACATCGTCTCTTAGTCTAGCCACCAATCCGGTGTCTTGTCTCAGACTCATGAGATTAAAATCCTGACAAGTGCATTCGAGCTTACTTAGTCTCTCAGAGAGTTTAGCAGAAGCTTCTTTCACTCCCCCAGCCTCGGCCAGTGCTGCTGCAACCTGATCCTGCAAGCAAACGAAGTTCTGGAGCTTGGCTGGGCCTTGCGGGCACTCCTCCATGGCTTCTTCCACGTAGGCGAGAACCGCTGAAGAAGAATGCCGTGACCACCATTGGATTAAATCTAACGGCACGCCCTGTCGAGCCAGCAGTTTGATACCTGACCGACGCATGAAGTGTCCTGTAACTGCCTCCACTCGCAGGTTGCACGCTTCCGGGACTCGCTGTTTGATCACTTGCGCCATGGCCTGTGCTTCAGCAATCAACGCATCCTTCCCGACATGCTCGCAGGGGTCTCGCATCGTGCCTACAAGCGGGGCATCAACTATCGCAACGCCTTTCATCTCCAAGGGTTGGGGTGGGGGGCTTGGCACTGGGTTTTTGTTTCCCAGGTGTTTTGACACGCACGAATCATGACCACCCATGTTCGCCCACGCCCAGCTGGCTTCTGGCTCAGCTGGCCCCGACCTAACCCGAGTTGGGGCCATGCATAGCGTGTGAGCATCTTTTTCGAGGCCGCTACGCCCCTAGTTGTCTTTCTAGAGGTTCCAGGCCCGGTAAACCCGGTGTTTTCCTCTCTGGCATGCCCCGAGAGTCGCCCGCGCCCATGGCCTCGAACAGTCCCATGCCTATGTGGACAGCTCAAGACGCCTCGGACGAGGATTACTGTGGCAGCTGGCAACAGCTGCTCAACTTACATCAAAGACGCATCGCCTTGTGGCAGCCTGAGGGCCCCTCGACCGCACAAGCTCACACGGGATGCCCGAGCTCCATGCCGACTGCGCCCACGAGACGCCCTCCTGAAGCACCTGCTCCCACTGGATGCCCGACTTCATCAAGGCCTACATCCTCGCAGTGCCCTGCAGCTTCTGTGACAGCCCTGCCTACTGCAGCTTCTGTGACAGCCCTGCCTACGGCTCACGCGCCGCCTTCAGAGCTCCTTTACGGCACAAGAGCCCCTGGCCCGGATAGCCGGACCTTCCCGGACGCTCAGCCGTCCTCAATCTTGCAGGATGTCGCTCTCATGCAGGACCTCCTGACCTACCAGCACAACCAGCTCCGAGCCCAAGAGATCCACTCCCGCCTACTCGGCGGCCAAGCCGAGCACTTTAAACACAGCCTCGCGGTGTGCAATTCACTGCTTAACTCTGCCCTTAATGCCCTAACCCAAGCCCACGTAGCCTATGCCCGCCTGAACGAGGACCTCGACCTGCTGGCCTCGGATTTCCTGGCCTACAAGATTCGGGCCCAGGCCGAATTTCTCCGCCTCAGCGCCACGGTGGAGCCCTTGCCTGCACAGCTCAACATCGCCAGACGTATGGCAGCCTTGCCCTACAATGCACATCTCGCCGCCCTGAGAACTTTCCAGGTGCCGGCAGATCAGTGGTCTGAAGCCAACCCCCTTGCCAGGATACGCCGTGAAATCCTTTGCCTAGAAGAGAGGATTAACCGCCTCGAACGGAACCTGCCCCCCTAAGCCTTAAGCCCTAACCAACATGCCCGCCCAGGTCATGCTCCGACAGCTCCTTTTGGCTTCAAGTTCACCCGCTCGACCGCCTACACCCTGCCCAGCAGCCTGCCCATGGCCGGCTCTGATTATGACGAGTGCCCATGGAACTCCGAGCCTTGGAGCTGCGCGGAGGACAGCAGCGATACAGCCCCAGATCCAGCTGCCTCGTCCGCCCGTGAAGCATTCTCACATAGCCATGCCCTCTCGCGGGTCAGCTTGGCCCCCGCCGCCGCGCCGCCTATCGTGCCTCAGCCTCAGCCTAAGGCCCCGCCACCTCAGCACCTGCTGAGCAATGCAGCCCAGATTCTGCCCCCCTTGCCTGCCGGGCCGCGCCACGGGGTCAACATGGTTTTCATGCCGCCCATGCGCTCCTTTTGTGCTCGGTACCAGAACACACAATGCCGCCGGCAGTGTGCTCTACATATGACGCCCTTGCAGCGCACACATGCCCATGTCCTTGCTCTGCACGGCCTGCCTATTGCCGCACTCCTGCCTCTGCAGGTCCGTTGGCGCTGCCTGGTCTCCTTGAGCCACATTTTGTCCAACATATGGGCCTGCCTATCGCCAGCCTCCAGACACTCCATGCACGCCATCGACTGGTGGACCGCCTCCGACTGCAGGTGGTACCTCTCGGGGCTGCCCATGCCACCCAGCCACGCCTCTTCCGAGCCCGAAGACGGCTCCAGCACATCCGGCCTGACACGCCTGCTGCATGGCCCATGCCGCCCCGAGCCCAAGTGGTGCCCCGCCAAGCACATGTGACTATAGGGTTCTGTTCTAAGACCCTCCTTGACCCCCCTCCCTGCCAGGTATTTGGTCGAGCACTTCTACCAGGACCTCATCGTTTCCGCCCGGCACCTACAGTCTCTTGGGTCCAGTTCTGTGGTACACCTAACCATGCTCTTTCTGTTTCGGTCAGGCCACAAGGTTTTTTCTTTCATCGGCCTACCGGACGGCCCACGTGCGCGTGCCCGCACACGCTCCTCTGCCCCTTGAAGAGACAGTGCCCTGTGACCCTGTTCAGGTACGCCCTGTAGCCCGAGCCCAGCGACGCCCGGTCAAGGCCCGCCTCACGATTGCGCACTGCACACGCTTTTTTGCTGTCATGAGTCTCTTCTGCATGCCTCATGGGGTTACGTGACCTGCGCTGGATCCATGTGCTCAGCGCTCTTTCTCAAGCCCTTTGCTAGCCCCCCGCCTTCTTTGCCTTCTCCCGCGTTTTCCGCCCAATGGCCCAAACGCCGGACAACGCTCTCGCCCAGTTTGCTGCCCTCTGGGCGCAATTGGACGACAGTGCCAAGCAAAGCCTCGTTGGAGGGCTTGCCGGGCAGACCGTGCCCACTGGTCAGCCCAAGCCTGCCGAGCCGCCCACTACCTCGGCCTCCTGCCCCGCGGAGCCTGCCCAAGCCTCCAGCGCCGCGGACTCCGGTCCCGCCGTGCAGCCTGCCCAGTCGGCCCCTGCCTTGCTGACGCCCCAACAAGCCCAAGAGCTTGCAGACTGCAAAGCCGCCGCCCAGGCACGGCGCTGCTTGCCTCGGCTCAGCAGTGCCCGCCTGCCCCTGCACAACGGAGCAACCCAGACGTTTAGCGCCGTGACTGGAGCTTCATTGATCAAGCCACGTCCTGCCTATGGACGGCTAACCACGTCCGCAAAGCCTTTGCCGAGGGCCGCGCACTGCCTACACTGCACTTCAACCGAGACCGAGTTCTCGTGCCTACTGAGCTGCTCGAGCACATCGCGCACTCCAAGCCTGAAACGCCTGCCACGGGCCCCGACCTGCCTCCACTGCCGAGGGCGCCTGGTGGCAAGATTCCTGCCGACGCCACAGCCTTGGAAAGAAAGGCTTGGGCTGATCTTGCCGAGGAAGCCACCGACGCGGTCGCTGCCTTCTTTGCAGGGCCTAGCACACTGCCTGACCCGGATCTGGAGGAGTCCGAGGATGCAGTGGCGCCTACTGAGCCTGCCCCGCCAGAGCCACAGCCTCCCGCACAGACCACAGTTGTGCCGGTCAAAGCCAAGCCCACAGAGCCCACGCCGCCCGATGCATACCACCTGCCCATGAAGCGATATGATGGACGCACATGGTATCACTTCTACGGCATAGGTCAGCCGCCTAGAGGTGCCAAGGAGGTGGACTGGTCGACCTTCTGGTTCACTTACGAGGCCCCATCGCCCAGAGAGGACTCATCTCCTCCGCCTCTAGCAGCAGACGCCTCCGATGCCTGCGGCCCGCCTTCTCAGCCCAGGTACCAACACGGGCCCTTGCCCATGTCGTGCTTTGAAGATGGACGGGAGTGCATCGTCAGAGACGACAACAACTCCATCATGATCCACAGCCTGGACTACGAGCTCATCAAGTCCCAAGCCGTTCAGGGGATCATCGGATCAAAGTTCATGCTGGACTCGGAGTCCTTTTCCATTTTCTCGGGCCCATATCCTTTTGACAACCCGCCCAGCCTATCGGAGCCCGCCGACGGCCCGGCGCCCGGCAACCGAGCAGCCGACGATGGCAGGACTGACGCAGATACAGACCTGCTCGGCCTACTCTCCGACAAAGGAGACGCACACGAGCCCCGCAGGTCCGCCTTTCGAGACCCTGCCCACAGGACCTCTTCCTTTGCCCCGCTGCCGGCAGCAGACAGACTGCCTCCCTGCCCACGCCTCTGCATCCCCGAACCGCCCGACAGGAGGTATCGCGGTTGCACCATTGTGCCCAGCATTTGCCTACCGGACACTTTCCGGATTGCCCAGGAGGACACACGACTCCTCTACATGGACCACAACAGACGCCTACGATGTGCCCGGCCCTGCAGCACTCAGCCCTTCTGCCCATGGGGCCTCGTGTGTGCCCAAAACGTGGATGATCCTGACGCCGACAGGCACGATCGCCACCAATGCAGCCGCTGCCACGAATTCGACCGGCACAGGGAATCCCCCTGGGGACACTTCGCCAGGCCCTAAGGGCGCTCACTGGCCTGCCCCGCCCACACGTGGTTTGGCACGCCTAGGAAGATCTCTGCCCAACTTCAGGGCCTTGCCTGCTCAAGACAAGTTTCTTGCCCACACTGCCCAGATCGCACATGTGTCAAAAAAGCCTCTGCCGCCAGGGATACAGACATGCTCCCCATGCTGCCCCCTCCTTTCGCCCTGACCAGGTGCAGCTCATCTTCGACATCCTCGACGCGAACGAGATAAAGGAAAAGGGGGTGCCCAGCTTGCATGCTTGTTTGTTGTCTTGTGTCCATGTTTGCACACATGCAGCCCCGACATGCGTCCTGGAAGATCCGTCTCGTTGCCTGCCGCAGCCGTTCTTGAGAGCCTGTCGACTTCCTGCGCCCCAACATGTCACATGCCTTGTTCAAGCCCCGTGCCTCCTGGAGCCCAACTCCGGACAACAAGCGAGCCAGACTCGGGCCCAGCTCGGAGACCAGCCTGCTCTCGCCGCACCACCGGCTCAGCATTGAGTTGGATGCGGAACTAGGGGCCGCCTACCTGGAAGATGACGCTCTGTCCATCATAGAGGACCGCACATCCGAAGAATGTGCCCACAGCCCCAGATCCGCCATGCCAGAATCTTGCCCAGGCCTCCCGGAGTCGTCGCCGCACTCTGGCTCCTGGGACTTGATCAGCCTACCGCCTGCAGGGCTCTCCTTCACGCCAGCAGCCACCCCGGCGAATCTGTCAGCTCAACTCATTTCCGCTCAGGCCGCCCAAAGCTCGCGCACGCATGCCTG